CTGGTGCATTTAGGGAGCAGCAGTCTGTGACTGTAGGAGCTCTCCAGTTCAGCATCAGCTTCATGCATAAACACCTTTTTCAAAGGTGTCATTCATTTTTACTATTTTAACAAACATTTCCTGCTTTTGTCACATGTCTACAGCTCGCCAAAGAGTTTTTTTAGAAGATCCTTGAAGACACCTAAATCAGAACCCAGCTGTGTGTCCTTTAAGAGTGACGATTCAAAGGATCTTGTTATCACCTTTAATTCTTCTGGAGCTTCATCCTCAGAGAGGTGAGCTTTTTCTAAAAGTTGTAATCCTGGAAACGTAGTTTGAAATATATTTATTCCATCATGTGTTTAAGGGGAGCTCAACCCATTCAGAATCTGTGGAACCTCTTTAATCTCTCAGTTTATTTGCAGTAATTGTTTCAAATGATTTTCAGTGATTGAAAATCAAGCGTCTGTATGATGTCAGTATATCCCTTCCACATATCTTTCTTGTCTTTGATCAAGAGAAGACTAATTCAGTTTCTAGCTATATCTTGCTCTCCTCAAAGTCTACAGCTGCATATCTGCTACTACTCCCAAACTACAGAGTTTCCGATCAACGTGACAGAGATTCATAGGTCATCCTACACAATGGTTCTCATGAANGTATATCCCTTCCACATATCTTTCTTGTCTTTGATCAAGAGAAGACTAATTCAGTTTCTAGCTATATCTTGCTCTCCTCAAAGTCTACAGCGGCATATCTGCTACTACTCCCAAACTACAGAGTTTCCGATCAACGTGACAGAGATTCATAGGTCATCCTACACAATGGTTCTCATGAAAAAGGTTTTTCAGTTGAAATGCCGCCTCACTAATAAAATACATGTATGTACTATATATAACAGACAAGTCATTATGGCTGGTACATTTCCCCACCTGTTTGGAGTTGGCACTGGGAAGGATATAGATGGTAGCAGTGGTGACGCTGGTAGAAAGAATGGTCTGCATCTCACAGTCATGATCAATATCTGCTGAGCAATGGCTGGATACCAGAGTAGCATTGTTACAGATTTATCATTAACATGAACAAACTTTAATTGGTCAGACAGATACGATTTAAACCTGTCTAGTGCTCTCCCTTTAATTCCTACACAATATTCAAGTATTTCTATAAGAATATTATGATCAACTGGATCAAATGCAGCACTGAGATCTAAGAGGAAAAGTACAGATACAAGTCCATTATCTGAGGCCATGAGAATATTATTAGTGACTTTTACCAGAGCTGTTTTAGTGCTATGATGAGCTCTAAAGCGAGATGGAAACCTTTCAAAAAGTTTATTATGGTGTAAGGGGTCACACACTTGTTTGATCACTAATTTCTCAACAATTTTAGATAAGAAAAGAAGATTGGATATAGGTCTATAATTGACCAAGTCCTCTGGGTCACAGAAATACACATAGCAGCACGCATCTAAAGGTACCCAGCTCACATTCTTAATCTATCTCTAGTACGACCCCCCTGTTGAGGTGGTCAATACACCCATCTCAATAATAAATCGCAGTGTGTATGTCAATGAGACCTATGCTACATACAACAGTACCAGCAGGCACTGTTCCAGATTTCAGGTGATTAAAGATTAGCAAAAAAAATGTAGACCAGGCTTTCCATCTCTACAATGGTTTGTCTTAGTTAACTGTCATCTAGCAATGGGTAATATTCCATACAACTGCCTGAGGGGGAGCTGCACATGTACACATGTATATCCCTCCATCTGGTACCTTCATTCCTATATGAAACAGCATTGCATAAATTAAACTGGAAAGTAGTACTACCCCCCCCTCCTTGTTTTATACAGACGTTTGTGGAGCCTTTCCATTTCCAACTACAGCATCTTTTACTCCTCTACTTCTTCTCGTATGTCTCTCAGATGCCTTCCAATTTCTCTCAGATTTCTTTCAGTAGGTGGCTCTCCTTTTCACAAATGTGACTTATGCCAAGGTCTGCTTCTGTTCTAAATCTAACCACACTCTTAAACTGCAAGGGTTTGCACTTACCACTTTGAAGGATTCACTCCACCTTGGATCCTTCCAGGTTCTGTAATACACCTTTCTGTAAACCCACTCTCCTTTTTCAATTGGCTCTGGTTCAAGCTCTGTTGCTTCCTTTGTTAGTAATCCCTGTACATTATGCGTACAATTGTGCTATATAATCTTTTATCTCCTCCCTTTACTCGTCCAGAGTGATGAGCAACCACAGCTCAGCTGTGCAGTTGAAGGAGTGGGCACCCATCTCCCTTTTAGTGGCTCATGTGGGGTCGATGCAAACTGAGTATGCTGAGAGGATCTAAGTGGGAGTTTGACCAAACAAAAAGCTTCCATCCAAGTCATTTTTGTGTCAGGACAGATTTTTGCAAGTTGTTGTTTTATGGAAGAATGAACCCTATCCACAAACCCTGCTAAGCAGGGTGGTATGCTGAGCCAAACCTGTGCTGAATGGAAAAGTACTCAACCTTTTGTAGATCCTCAGCTGTGAAATATGTGATCTGATACAACTTGGAACCCCAAAATGTGGAATAAGATCATTAATGAGCCAAGTAATGACCTCTTGGGCTGATGAATGTCTGGTGGGTTTAGCTTAACCTATCTAGTGACAGTATCAACACAAACCAAATGTCTACATCCCTTGACATGATTTTCAACTCCCATATCTGTAAAATCAACCACAATTTCATCCCATGGTTTCTGCGGAACAGGGAATGAACCCATTCCTAATTAAAAGTTGTTTTAGGATCAGGTAAGGGTGCCAGCAGTTTTGTCCTTTCAGGGCAGCCAGTTTATTCCCTGATTGATGACTCCTATACTGAGCTTCCTCTCACATCATATTGAAAAGTTTTGAGGAGGCCAAAATTCCCCAAATGACAGTAGTTGTATATTTCCATGCTCCCTTTCCTATCCATGCCTGTTTCTCATGTGTGGCTGCTGTGATCTGAATGTCCACAAGTTCAGTTTTTGTTTTATCATTGGATGAAGAGGAGAGCTGAAACATCTAAGACAAACCTTTTCCTTTATTATGATAATAACCAGCCACTGTTTTGTCACGGTTGAGTGGAGGCTTTTGAGGACCCAAATGCAGAGGCAAAGGTGAGTCTTACAGATTTAATGAGGCAACTGAGGCAGAAAAAAAAAATCCAAAATACTACACACTGAGAACCAAAAATAAGATATTAGGAAAAACTCACGTAGGAAGCCAGAGAGAAGGAAGCCACAAAACAAGAATCCAGCACTCAGTGACTGCTTAAGTGGTGTATATATGGGGAGCCTGAACCAAGACAGGCTAATCAGCAGATTGGGAGCAGGTGTAAGTGGAACAGACTAGAAGGGAACCAAGGGGAAAGGAAACAAGCAAAAGGGGGCAACAGATGGTAACTCAAGCCTACTCCCACTCTTCTGCTGTTCTCCTTCAATTATCCACTGGTGGATTGTTCAATCATTCATCATCTGTCATCTTAGCTCCAGTGCTGACCCCAGCCAGCCAGTGTCTCTACCGACCACTGATGCTCTCTGCACTGCTAGATAAAAAGAAATAACACCAAATCTGGGCAATATGCAGACACAGCTCCTAGTGTTGGTTGTGGTACTCTATAAAATGGGTTTAGTCTCTGGAGAATCGTGTGGACCCATAGAGTCAGAATGGAAGCTAAAGCTAAACTCTGAAACTTTCCTAGAGAATCTTATCAAAATGAAACAGTCTTTGGTGTCACATCCCTGGCTGAATGATGGTCCTTAGCACTAAAGCTTTATCACACCTCAATGAGAAATGTTTTATCCATAAAACTTAATTGAACTATCCTTTTAATATAATTATAAAGAAAATAAAATGAGATCCAAACAGCTGCTTTCCTCTTTTTACTTAGACTTTTCTCAAGTTTAACAAGAATGCACCAGCAACCATTTTATAAAATCTCGTAATAGAATTCAGTGTTTACAATAAAATATTGTATAATATTAATATAATGCGTATAAAATATTGAATATTGATAAAATAAAGTCTGTAGCTTTACTAGCACCCAATAATATATGCTAAAAGTAATAAACAACTATCATTCACCATTTAGGTTTTCAATTTTTTACTATTTACTTGTAGTGACTAGTTGTCTATTAAAAAACTTAAAAATGAAAAAGCAAAAAATAAATGTAAATCAAATAGTCACTTGAGGAATATTGGGTTTCTGGTTTTACGCAGTACAAAAAATTCTCAAAATACGTGAAAAATGCAGTTCGGTGAGTTTATTCCAGGTTTCTTCAGGAAAAATAAACATGATACAAAAACTCAAAAAGACTACTTGCCACATCACCTGGCCTGGTTTCTGCCTTTGTGCTCACTTCACCTGATTAAGGCTGAGTGACTTGCCTTCTGAAAGGCCTGGTAGCCTGCAGCTAGAAGACTGGAAGACTGGTAAAAAACCATAAGCCCACCCACTTTTCACCTGAGCTACCTGGAGTCCATGTATCTATATACCAGACACCCAGACAAAATCAATTAACTAATTAAACAATTTACTAAGAAATAATTGTATTCTAAGCAACTACTTTCAAACAAAAATGCAACAAATAACCAAATAAATACAAACTAACTAAATAATCTAAGTTCTTAAACAAAAATAGAGAAATAGCTCCTACATATTTCTTTACTGAGTTTGATTTACTTCCTCCACTGATAACACTTAGACCATTAAACAAACCTTGACCAACTTTTTAAACGTATTTGGTCATCCTAACTGTCATTAATACCGTAGTTTTTCTTTGTTGCAGTAATTCTATGACATCTAACTGCCCTGAATAGTTGAAAAATTAAACAGAATTATAATAATAAAATAATTTTAGCATCATGACTGAGACAGAAACCAAAGTGAGCTGCTAATTCTCAGCTGGACCGGTTCATCTAGATATCATTACATAAACCTTTACCACATGTTTGTCCCCTGACCTGGAAGCTAATTGTTTCTGGTCTTCCACAGAACGGAGCATCACTCTGAGATGATTCCTAGCTCTCCATCTGTCCAGCAGCAACAAGCCCAGCTGGACTCCATATTTATGGTGTGTACAACAAGTACTATTTTTATAGTCTTCTCCATGATTCACTTTATGGACCAGGGGACCATTGCTCTGTCCAACATGGTGTTGGTGTTTGCCTCCATATTTTCACTTTGGTGTGTCCTTCATTCTGTTCCAGCTACTGGAAGACAACATATTCACATTTGTGAAGAACGAGCTGAAGAAGATCCAGAAGCTTCTAAGTCCAGATGACCCTGAACACTCAGATACTCAGGAGGTTCAAGAGGAGGTGTTTGCAGGTGAGGATGAAGAGAAGAGGAGGAGCAGCAGCGAGGCACTGATGAAGATTACAGTGAACTTCCTGAGGATGATGAAGCAGGAGGAGCTTGCTAACCATCTGCAGAACAGTAGGAGATTTTATATACAGATTTAACCTTAGGGATGAATCAAACATGTAATGATGTAAAGAGATGGAATCACAGTTACTGAATGAATGTATATAATTTTATTTTCTTCCTTATTATATCTTTTGTTTTAATTTAGAGATTCCTGCTTTAGTGTGTCAACATAAACTTAAATGTGCTCTGAAGAAGAGGTTCCAGTGCGTGTTTGAGGGGATCGCTAAAGCAGGAAATCCAACTCTTCTGAACCAGATCTACACAGAGCTCTACATCACAAAGGGAGGCACTGGAGAGGTTAATGATGAACATGAAATCAGAGTGATTGAAGAAACATCCAGGAAACCAAACAGACCAGAAACAACAATCAGACAAGAAGACATATTTAAGGTCTCATCTGCAGGAGATCAGCCAATCAGAACAGTGATGACAAAGGGAGTAGCTGGCATTGGAAAAACAGTCTTAACTCAGAAGTTCACTCTGGACTGGGCTGAAGGGATAGCCCACCAGAACATCCAGTTCATATTTCCATTCACCTTCAGAGAGCTGAATGTTCTGAAAAAGAAAAAGTTCAGCTTGGTGGAACTTCTTCATCACTTCTTCACTGAAACCAAAGAAATCAGCAGCTTTGAGGACTTCCAGGTTCTGTTCATCTTTGATGGTCTGGATGAGAGTCGACTTCCTTTGGACTTCCAGAACAAGAAGATCCTGACTGATGTTACAGAGTCCACCTCAGTGGATGTTCTGCTGACAAACCTCATCAGGGGGGAACTTCTTCCCTCTGCTCTCCTCTGGATAACCACACGTCCCGCAGCAGCCAAGCAGATCCCTCCTGAGTGTGTTGGCATGGTGACAGAGGTCAGAGGGTTCACTGATCTGCAGAAAGAGGAGTACTTTAGGAAGAGATTCAAAGATGAGGAGCAGGCCAGCAGCATCATCTCCCACATGAAGGCCTCACGAACCATCCACATCATGTGCCACATCCCAGTGTTCTGCTGGATCACTGCTACTGTTCTGGAAGATGTGTTGATGTCCAAGGAGACAGGAGAGCTGCCCAACACCCTGACTGAGATGTACATCCACTTCCTGGTGGTCCAAACTAAGGTGAAGAAGATCAAGTATGATGGAGGAGATGTGACGGATCTGCATTGGAGTAAAGATACTAGGAAGATGATTGAGTCTCTGGGAAAACTGGCGTTTGATCAGCTGCAGAAAGGAAACCTGATCTTCTATGAATCAGACCTGACAGAGTGTGGCATCAATATCAGAGCAGCCTCAGTTTACTCAGGAGTGTTCACACAGATCTTCAGAGAGGAGAGAGGGCTCTACCAGGATACAGTGTTCTGCTTCATTCATCTGAGTGTTCAGGAGTTTCTAGCTGCTCTTCATGTTCACTGGACCTTCATCAACTCTGGTGTCAATCTTATGCAAGAAAAACAAAGATATAAAGGATCATTCGTATCCAAGAAACCTAAACTAAGCTCTCTCCACCAAAGTGCTATTGATCAGGCCTTACAGAGTCCAAATGGACACCTGGACTTGTTCCTGCGCTTCCTCCTTGGACTTTCACTGCAGACAAATCAGAGACTACTACAAGGTCTCTTGACACAGACTGGAAGTCATTTACAGACCAATCAGGAAACAGTTCAGTACATCAAGGAGAAGATCAATGAGAATCTGTCTGAAGAAAAAACCATCAATCTGTTGCACTGCCTAAAAGAACTGAAAGATGATTCTCTAGTGGAGGAGATCCAACAGTATCTGAGTTCAAAAACTCACTCCATTGATGAACTGTCTCCTGCTCAGTGGTCGGCTCTGGGTTTCGTCTTATTGTCATCAGGAAAAGATCTGGATGTGTTTGACATGAAGAAATATTCCTCTTCAGAGAAGGTTCTTCTGAGGATGCTGCCATTGGTTAAGGCCTCCAACAAAGCTCTGTAAGAACATTAATTGTTACTGCATTTTTTTGTTGATGGTAAGAAACCTGTTAATGATGAGGTGAATTAGACTAATGTGGTTTTAGTTTATCTACAATTAGCCAGTTAACAACATCAAGTGATAATCATATGTCTAAATTAAAGTAAAATTTTCCAGGAAGAATATTGGCGAAATAAACATCATTCTTTTATGAACTGTTTAGTAAGATATTTTTCTCCCTGTCTCCTCAGACTGAATTCCTGTAACCTCTTACCGAGAAGCTGTGAAGCTCTTTCCCCAGTTCTCAGCTGCCAGTCCTCTAGTCTCAGGGAGCTGGACCTGAGTAACAACAACTTGAAGAACTCAGGAGTGGAAGTTCTCTGTGATGGGTTGGGGAGTCAGAACTGCAAACTAGAAATTCTCAGGTAAAATGTTCTTGGTCCTGTTAAAATCAGATGTTATTTTTTAGGACTAAGATCTCCAATCAGAGATGTTATAATTATACATTTTTCAACTTTTTGCATGATGTTTTTATTCCTTATGAAGACTGCTATAGAAACAAATCATTAGTCTTATATAACAAAAACAAGATTGATGGTTTTCATCCAGGCAAATTAATTTGTTCTTGCAACGGAGAACAGATAAAATATTTTTTTCTTTTACATGACCTGTTTACTCTTATAGCTCTGAGAATTGACGTCCTGGTGCTGAATAATAGCCCGACAATTTGCTTTGACTAGTGAGCCATCATGGGTGTCATAGGGTTATACTTCTCCATTGTGAATAAATTATTATACACTATTACAACTATTATTGCAAAATTTAATTCAGGAGACTATCTACATGTTATCCATATTGTAAAAGATGGCTCTGGAAGCCTGTGAGGCAGAGCGACACAAAGTTTGCCTTCTAGTGAGGCGAATAGGGTGAGATCAGTGGAGCGAGAGCAACAGGCAAATTTGCAGGACCTGGTTTCAGCGAAAACCAATTAGACACTAGATGTGACTGATCTACAGTAAAGGAGCCTAGCAAATACAAGTTTGTTGATAGAGAAAATTGCTTTAATGAAGAATGAAAAAGGAAAAGGTTTGTAGGTGGAAAAAAAAAACATTTTAATTTAGCTTTAAGGAAGATTGGATATAGGGCTATAATTGACCAAGTCATTTGGATCAAGAGAAAGTTTCTTAAGTAAAGGTTTAATTGCAGCAGCCTTAACACTAGAAATCCTAGATAATTTCAGTTTTCCTGGAAGCCCCCCCCCCCCACTCTTCAAGTTTGTGTATTCACTCTACCTTACTAACTGTCCCTATTGTAATGCAAATAACCTGTGATGTGACCAGCCCTTCTACATTAGACTGCATAAAGGCTGAAACACACTGGCATCAGAAGAAGAGCATGCTCCAAGCTATTTTCATTACTGCCCTTGCAACATTAGACATTTTTGCAGGAATATCTTGATAAGTCATATCTAAATCTTTTATTTAGGCAAACCTATTGAACAACCAGATATCATACGGGTCCTAGTTCCTGAGCTGAGAACAGGTCATAACCATGCTTTTCCAACAGGGCAAGGCAGAGCCTATTTATATTGTCCATTCACCAACAGACTCATTTATATTGCAAAGCTCAATATGTGAGAGAAACATAGACAAAAATTGTATTTCGTCTTGTCTCGCCTTTTCATGTCATTCAACATTTCAGCTTAGAAAATGACAAACAGTATGATTTCAGTATTGGAGTAACATTTATTTGACCCAAGGAAAAGCCCTACATATGAAGCTACCATTGTCCCATTTAGCAGTTTTCACAAATCCTGCATTTGTGACAGGTATACTTTGTGCAGTGCACACAATGCTCAGTGCTCTGGTTCCTGTTGCAAAGATTGCACATCTGGCCTGCTTATAGTAACAATGAAAAAATCTAAAAAAAAAAATAGAGTTTAGCACATATTCTGAAAGCAAGAGTTCTAGTTAAGGAACAATCAGATCTCTGATATCAGATGGAGCTTGGCTGTTTAAGGCTTTATATGTCAGAAGGAGGATTTTAAGTTCTATTCTGGATTTAACAGGAAACCAATGAAAAGAAACAAGAATAGGTGAGATATGATATTTTTTTTTTTCACCAGAATTCTGGCTGCAGCATTTTGGATCAGTTGAAGGCTTTTAACAAAAGGATATTCCAGACTCCAGAGATAAAAGAAGGAAATTCTAGAATTCTCTTTGATATGGGATTTAAACAGCAGGTCTGATAGCAAATGACACCAAGGATTTTTTACTTTATCATCTGAGGTCGATTTAGTCCCATCCAGATTAAGCGACTGAATAATCTGCATGTTTTTTTGGAGATTCAAAGACAATAACTTCTGTTTTGTCATCAAAGACATGCATGTAGTCTATTCAATGGGTTAGTTTAATCAGGATTTATGGACAAATATAGAGTATCATCATCATAACAAGGGAAATTAATAACAAGGGGGAAAGAATATTATTGATTTAGATTTTTTCACTTATTATTCAATCAAAAAAGTTTGCTTCATTTAAAAGAAATTGTAAAAAAAAAAAAAAAACTTAACCTAATCAAAAAACCCTTTCCAATCCAAGACGAAAAGTTTTTGAAATAAAAAGTATATTTGAGACCCCCCCCAAAAAAGCATATGAATACTGTTTTTCTTGATTGAAAATCTTTATTTTGATAGAAGTGAAGGTTTTTTTTGTTTAAATCAACTCTTTGATTGAAGTATGTCAGGCTCAGAACAAAAGCACCCAGTGTTCGAATCTAAGGTAGGAATTTTTTGCAGGTGGAGAACACAGCTTGGTGACCATGTCTATCAGGAGGAGGAGGATAATGAACGTGTGAGTCACTAACCTTGTTTTAAAGTTCAGTCTGTGCCCAGAAGACAAGGTTGGTCCAGCTGGTTGGCTGCCAGTAATGAGGTGGGGGCTGCCAAGAGAGTCCAACACCCTTAAGACCCGAAAGTCAGGCGACAGGCAGGTGATCAGCACCGAGCAAACGAAGGAAGGCAGGATAATCCAGAGAGCAAAGCCAAAGCCGATGTTGGGGATGTGCTTTGGAGTCAGAGTCAGGAGATCATAGATCTGAGAAGGTACCAGAGGCAAATCCAGGACGGTGTCAGGAGTCAGTTCCAGGTTCTGTACACAGGCAGACTCCAGCAGGAGTCTGAGGACAGCTCAGGCAAGCAGATCAGAATAGGAACAGGCAGGCTCAGAGGTCCAGAGGCAGAACTGGTCTGAATCAGGCAATCAGAACCATTCAGGTATGCTAGAGAACTCTCACTAAAGGCTCAAATAATCTGGCACTGATGACTGGTTGAAGGCTGGTTAAGTAGTTGCTGAAGCAGGTGGATCAGATGCATGGTGATGAGAAACTGGACAGAGCTATTTTTTTTTGCTTAAGTTGTCACTCAATTGAAAGTTTTAAACTTTCTATTTATTCTTTAAATAATAGAAATGTTAGTACAGTATATAACAAACTTGTGAAAACATTTCTAACTATCAACTTTCTTTCTGCTCTTGGGGCTGTAGCTCCTCACCCCCCTCCTCCTCATCGGCTTGTTGTCTTTTATCCTGCTTTCACACTGAAAACCCGCATTTTTTTTTTCACTGGGTTGACCCACTAACAATCGGCTTCTGGCTCTGACCTTCTGCTGGAAAGCTGCGTGGCCACTGTTCCCCTGCATTGTCACTGCGTGTCTGATGAGGGCAAGAGCTCACAAATCTTTTGTTGCCAGTGCCATGCCATGTTTCTTGAATACGAGCATACGAGTTGTTTGTTATTTAACACAGGACCGGCGCAATGTTTTAACGTACGTACATTGAGCTCAAAGTCATCACATAATTTAATGGGTCGACCTGGGTCTGGTGGTCCCACATCATGCTGATCAGAGTCAATTTTTATGCTTGCCAAGTCATTTGACCAAGGTACACACCTGTTGGTAAAAGATGTAGTGTTCAGGGTGTTCTCTCTGTATGGGCATCTGTCTGTTAGCATGTGAGGAACAGCAGCAGAGGAACAAAGGGACAGAGGGGAGACTTACCAAAATAAAATATGAAAGGATACTACAGAAGCGCAACTGGGGCTCAAGCATTAACTTACCTTGTGGTGAATGTTGCTCTGGCAGTAAATCCCAAAATGAAAAATGTTGTCACATTTGGCGAGTAGGGCACGTTTCTTCGAACCCTAGATATACATATAGTTGGTAATAAAACACATTCAGGAGCTCTTAGTTAGAAAGTCCACTTCCAACAGTATCTGTAAGTTTGAGTGTAAACTTAAATCTGTAAAGGGTGATAATAGTTAAATAAATAAACCCGAAACACATTTTTTTTCCTGAAAAGGATGTCATGCTGCTCTCCACTATGGCTAACTTGTGCTAGACTGCTGGTAGCACATGGTGACTACATCTACTAAATCCAATTATTTATAATTATAGAAAAACATTATAAAAATATATTGGATAGAATAACATTCAAGCCCGTAAATTATACAATGTACAGATAAAATCAAGAAAGGGTAAACCTACATTTACTTTATAAACTGACATGACTGCGATTTCAATCCATCACAGTGATGTCTGTTTTTTATTTCCCACAAAACAAAATAAAGTTTGTATATGATTTTATTGTTATTTGTTATATTGACATTGTAAACAATAGTGTCTTGTTTTGTTTTTTCTGTCCTACTAAAAGTTCAGTACTTTGCTTTACCTCCACTGTTGTGTTTAATTGTGTGTCTGCAGCTTGTCAGGCTGTATTATATCAGAGGAAGGCTGCGCTTTTCTGGCCTCAGCTCTAAGCTCCAACCCCTCCCATCTGAAAGAGTTGGACCTGAGCTACAACCATCCAGGAGATTCAGGAGTCAAGATGCTGTCAGATTTGCAGAAGGAACCACAGTCGAGACTGGAAGTTCTCAGGTATGAAGACACCTGCTTCAGGGAAGAATGTCCTATCTGTCCTTGTGTTAGTCTGACAGACAACGTTGTTGTAATGGTGTGTTCACAAAGAATGGCGTGTCCACTGTAATGTCTGCCATCCCCCCACACTGTGCGTTTTAGGACCTCAGCTTCACTATGCTGATCGCGGACCGCCTTATCAAATAGGAGAGGCTTAAGCTTCTATCTGCCTGCCAGCTTCTAGTTAACAGGGCAGAGAGGGATTTTGTCAAGCAAGTAACTGTTTTGCTTTGCTGTGGAAAGCACACAAAGCCAACAGTGTTGATCTCTTTTGGTCTGCCCGATCCCCGAGACAGAACAAGTTTTGAGAGTACCACCACTAAGTCCAACGGCTGTTTTGTGGATGATTGTCATTGTTATTATCTAAGGCAGTACACAGAGAACTAGCAACCCCATTAACAAAATAATCAACCTGTGAAGGGGAATAAGTTTAACGTTTGCCTCCACCGGCACTGCTCAGCAACACAGAGGAGAGAAAAAGTGAACGATAAAAATTATAACTGCACTATCTGATGATGATCTGCTAAAGTGAGACCTTCTTTTGGGGGAGGAGAACTCTGCTAAAGTAATCCTGAAGTTATTTTGAAAGGGGTCAGAGAGGACAGGGTTGTGAGAAAATATTGTTATTTCTTCACATTCAAAGCATATGTCAGCACAAGTTCTAAAGTATGAAGATGAGAAAGTGTGGGACTATTCATATTTTGAACAAAGTCAATAGCCTCTAAGGTAGCATTAAAGGCTGCATTTAAGCCATCACCTGTAATGTCAGCATGGATGTTAAAACCTCTTTAAAACCACTGGGTCGCTGGTGGGTAAGAATAAAAATATTTTTTTCGACTATAGACATGTTAGACATCATTTGGAAGCTTAGATTCTCCACAATTCATTCTCCACAATTTAGCATGCGATGTTTGGTATGGTTCTTTACATTGTCTTCTTATCTATTAGACAGAAGTATCTGCATATTTTCATGACGCAATCTGTGCAAGATATAGTCCCTGAAATCTCACTTGCTGTCACTACCTTTCAGCCAATGACGCACTCTTTGCCTCCTTAATAAGCCCGGCTGTTATTGGTTAAGACCATGTAGGCTGTTGGGTTTTGTAGCCAATGAAATAAGGTTTTAATCAAGCCTACATGTGCTGAGGGTATTTAAAGGGGTACCACATTACAGGCTTGCATTAGAGAGACACAGACAGCTGCGGCTGGAGTTTTTTTTTTTTAAGATTGGACGCTGATGTAGTTTTATTACAATGGCATTGTAATGAGTAAAAAGGAAATTAATAATAAGGAAAAAAATCTAGACCATGTAATTCGGGCTTACAGTTCCTAAGTTATTTGCTTTTCCATTTGGGTATGCAAGAGAGGCAAGAATTCCTAGGAAGAAGCGATACACCATCCAAAGTGGGATGGATGCCGTCCTTCTGAATCAGACCAGGATTTCCCCGAAAGGATTGCCAATTATTAATGTAGCCCACTTTGTTTTCAGGACACCACCTAGACAACCAGTGGTTGAATGATGACATACGGCTAAACATGACATCACTGGTCAGATCAGGGAGGGGACCAAAGAAAAGTCCAACATTGTTTTGGCAAACTTACACAGTGAAGCAACACTTATTTTAGTGACCTCCAATCGGCAGAGCCGGGTGTCATTATCGCCAGCGTGAAAAACAATGTTTCTGTATTTAACCTTATCCTTAGCAGGTAGTTTCAGGTGGGATTTGATGATTTGATTAATCTCTATTCACCGCTCGTGCCCCTGCAATATTCCTAGGGTTACTATGTAAATCAACCATTCATAGAGCGGACCTCGTGGGTAGTCTGAATGCACCATAAGTATTTTCTTCAGAACCCACCTCCCCATTCCATGTGCATCATGGTGGATGGTCCTGATAATGCCGGTGATGGCAATCATACTGTATTCCTCAAGTACATGTCATCAAGTATATGTAAGTTTTTTTAATGGTCATGTGAAGGTATTTTTGTTTTGCAGCTTTGCCTGTGTCTAAAGAAATTAGTTGTGCTACAGCAAAGCTAATCCTCCTGAAGCCTTTGCATTCATTCATGTTCTAACACACCTGAAACAAAACACCAAATTATCTCCTTGGCTTGTCAGTGACTTTAGCAGTGGCCTGGCTATTAACCCTTCATTTGATTTGGATGTGTGGAAGAAGGGATGCATGCGAAACCTGCAGGACAGTGGCACTCCAGGACCAACATTGCCTACCCCTGTGCTACAGTATCAGTTGTCCAGTGCAGTTTGGAATGTTCACATTAAAATCACAGTTATAATCACAGTCCAGATTTATCTGCTGTCAGCTTTTCTTTCTTTCTTTTGATATTTAGAAAAAGTCCAAATCTTCTGTTCCCAGAGTAGGACAATGTATTCCTGACAACATGCAATGTTAATGTTTTCTGCCTGAAAGAGACTGTTAGTATAGGGCTGGTTATCCTCCCGCAGCAATGAGCTTGTCGCAGATATTTTTTATTTATGCCCAATATTAAAACGTGGTCTGTGCTATGTTATTACATGCCACAAAACAAGAGGGACAATCAGGAACTAGCTGTGGGTCTAGATATGGCAGAGGTGGTGAGGAAGTGGGGGCAAGTTTGTGCGACAACGGAGGGACATGAGGGCCAAAAAGAGCGGGGCTCCAGGTGGAAAAAGGGTCCCAGCGTTCTCACGCACCTCACTCTTCTAGCTGGTCCATCTTCACAAGTTGTTTTCCACAATGGAGGTCATACAAGCAAAGCAAGCCAGTAAGGTACCAAACAGGAAATACGCATAGTGTAGAGCGGATGTAGATTTGACCAATCAGAGGCCTCCTGTCTGCCGTCACCTACAATTTTGGAGAGGTGCACCAGAGTGTCTGCAGGTTGGGCGGGGCAAATTTGCATTCACTGCGACGCACACGCAGACAACCTGGTTTCTGAGTATAAATCAACCTTATGCTCCTCTCCTTCTTTCAGTGTCGAGCCAACCGGAGAACGATGGTTGACACCGGGTCTGAAGAAATGTAGGTTTGTTTTTCATTGGATTCATGAAAGCAAAACAGCTCAGATCTTCAAACTGTCAATGACTCATTTAGGAGTCATAATTAAATTGTGAAAAAATGATCAATAACTGCAGCTGAATTATGTTTCTCCATCAGATTCCTGTCAGATCACAATCGACACAAACACAATTAACAGAAACCTAAAACTCTCTGAAGACAACAGGAAGGTGTCATTTGTGAAGGAGCTTCAGCCTTATCCTGATCACCCAGACAGATTTGATGACATGCCTCAGCTGCTGAGTAAAACTGGTCTGACTGGTCGCTGTTTCTGGGAGGTCTGGTGGAAAGGAAGAGTTAATATATCGCTGAGTTACAGAAGGATCAAGAGGACAGGAGACATTAAAGACTGTGGGTTTGGCTGTAATGATCAGTCCTGGAATCTAAACTGCTCTGAAGATGGTTACACAGTCTGGCACAAGAACAAAACAATACGTATTTCCTCCTCCTCCTCCATACTCGACAGAGTAGCTGTGTATGTGGACTGTCCTGCTGGCATTCTGTCCTTCTACAAGGTTTCCTCTGACTCACTGATCCACCTCCACACTTTCAACACCACATTCACTGAACCTCTGCATGCAGGATTTGGGTTTCTGTGGTCTGATCCTGGTTCTTCAGTGTTTCTATGCAGTTCACATTGAGAGGTGAGGCTATCTAAAGGGCTCCATAGACAATGGCAGTTTCTTTGTTTTAAAAAAAATCCACTGGTATTTCTAAATCTTAACTATATTTCAGTAAATGTCAGGGATAAAGGGGATGTGAATTGTCTTTGTACCATTTATAAACTACTGTTAAGAACCAACAGTAGTTTAGCGTTTGGCTTGATAAGTCAAAGCTATATCCATTGCATTACTTGGATCCAAGAAATTTCTCTTTTCTACCACTACAATTGTTTAAAGGATCATCTTAATCAGTCCACATGCAGTCTGGATAATGTCCATATGTGAAAGGCTCTCATTTTTGTTGGATTTGGGGAAGTGGTTCTTGTAAATTACTAGGACTTGTGTGTTAAAGAGGCTTCTGGGTAAGAAGAAAACACTGCATTATAATTGCTGTCCCAAAACCATGTTGTTGTTTTATTACATAACATAATTACACATCCTTTATACTCATTGTTATGATCTGCTGGATTTATGTTATACTGTTTCTACTGTTGAGAGTTATATCTTTTTTTTTACTTATTAGTCTTACTCTTTGTGTTTTTTAGTTATATATTCAGCAGTCTTTGCTCTAGTTTTGTTTTTGTCATTCATTGTTATCTTTGGGTTATATTTCCCAGTTACCATTGCCCCCTAAAGTCACCTTCCTCCTCATTGTTTTTTTTCTTCTAGTTGGTTCTATTCACACCTGCTCCATATCAGCTCAATAGCCCATTCTTTGTCCTGTTCCCCATATATACACCACCCCTGCAGTTCCTCATTGCAGGTTTCTTGTTGCTTTGTTGTTACTTGGCTCCGTGTGTGTGTTTCTTCCTCCTGGTTTTTTGTTTTTCTGTATTTTGTTTTTGGATTTGTGCCTCTGTTGTAGTGATGGTGAGATGAAGCCTCATTGGGCTAATTGCTTCAACGATCCCCACAGTTCATGAAGCTTCATGTGAACATGTCACCACCTACTGGTGGAGTACAGAAATACAGTTAATAATATAATCTGTGATTTTTGCAATAGTTTTTCTTTTTTTTTCCCATTTTAGTCCCTTTAAATTTGTTAATGATTGGTGTGTATAATAAAATCTTTTGTAAGTTTTTTGTGTGTGAAATGTGTTATTAGAGAACAATCATTTAAGGTTCACGGTTTTTCTGTCATTTTAGTGAAATAAGCTCAAGCGGACAGGGAAAGTGTTGGTGCAAATTGGGCAATGATGAGCAAAATGAAAGTGGTTAGTCATTTTCATGCAGTCCCTTTTCTCATGTAAATAAATATCAAATTTAATAGTTTTTCCACAGTTTTTGGGTTGTGTGTTCAACCAATCTTTTGACTAAACCAGCCAATCTAATTTGGTACTGGTTTTACCCAATGCATATTTGTACAGGGCAAACCAATAGAAATTAGTCACATTGACCAAAATACCTGTTAAGTATTATCACAACTTTCAAGTCTAAATTGGATCTTGAACCAACAACCTCAGGAAGTCCATGTCTGACAGCTGGCACCACTAGCAATGATAAGTACTCATTAGAAAGCAATACTACCTAACACTAATATAACAACTGTAACCAGTGGCTTGCTCAGATTCTGATCATTACATTGTTTAATCTAAACAAAATATTTTTAGCAAAATAGATTGGTTGTTTTTCTAACCAATCTATTCTTAGAATCTATCCACACTCTTCCCAACTAACAGCAACTCTCCTACAAACTTCCACATCTTCACTAAATACCGAGGCTCTTTAAATGCCTGTCGAAGTTCCGGGCGAGCTGATCCACTTCCTGAAGCGATCTTTTGGTACGGCGCGGTAACAAGGCTTCAGACATCATCTATTTTGGCTCTTCCACCGAATGAAGCAAGCCTCGACACACGCTTCGGGGAAACTACCATTCCACTACTCGACACGCCTCGAAGCCTCGGCTCATCTTATAACATCACTAATCTGTTGCCTTTGGAAATTAATTAAATCTGCAAGAACTCATCTCTGCCTCCTATTATTTTACCTAAAATAATACATGTGAGAGGCTGGGTCCACTCTGGACCAGTTCATCACAGGGCAACACAGAGACAAACATGGCAAACTTTTTGGCAAAAGCTTATGTAGAAATATACTGAAGACTGTAAATTAAATGGGAGTAGCAGCCTAGAGAGGCCAAGACTTTGGTCTACTAGGGTAGGCGAGCTGAGAAACATAGCTGAGAAACATAGGCTGTGTAGGCGAGCTGAGAAACATAATCCCTCCGGCTTGTCCTGGGTCTTCCTCTGGGCCTCCTCCTGGTGGGAAGGTACTAGAACAGCTCACCAGGGAGGCGTCCAGGAGTCATCCTGACCAGGTGCCTGAGCCACCAGCCTCTTTTTTTCTATGCCTTTTCCTTACATCCTGTTATGTGACTGCTGAGGTAAACAAACATTTTATAGAAATCTACTTAACTTTACTGTACCACTATAGCCCCATTTATACTACCCTCTGAAACCGATTCATGGTTAGCTTGGTTCAGTTAACCGTGCCGAGCTTGGTTTCTTACAACCATTTACACAAAATGCTAGCACGGTTCCTCACCTCCTAGTTATGATCTACGGTACTACTGCTCTCTAGGGGTAAAGAATCAAATCAACATGGCGACGCCCGTAACATTCAGGGAGGTTGGTTATAATTGGGATATTTCGTTGTTGGCGGAGAGGGGTCTTTCTGCATGGAGTTTGCATGTTCCCCCTGAGCATGCGTGGGTTCTCTCCGGCTTCTTCCCACAGTCTAAAACTGCCCACATCTCCAAATAACTGTTAGGTTGATTGGCTTCTCTAAATTGTCCTTAGGAGTGAGTGTGTGCATGAATGGTTGTTTGTCTCTGTGTTGCCCTGCGATGGACTGGCAACCTATCCAGGGTGTACTCCGCCTCTCGCCCATTGACTGCTGGAGATAGGCACCAGCACCCCTCGCGACCCCACTCGGGACAAGCGTGTAAGAAAATGGATGGATGGATGGATGGTATATAAAATGAATAGACTTTTATTTCAATTTATTTGGTAACATTTATCAAAAGAAAAATGGCAATGGTTACCTAATATTAGTGAGTAATGTAACATAATGAAGTAAATGTCAATCAGAGAAAATAATTAGTATCTACCTAATTACTTCATAACAGCAAATTCTACAGGGATATAACATTTACTTAAAATTTTGAGTAAAATGCAAGTTCACTTTACTTAATTTTTTTAATAAATCTAACTTGCAACTTGGATGTAATTAAGTAAATGTTACTTAATATCTTCACAACTGTTATGTTTAATGGAAAGTAAAATTCACTTGATACTGACAAAGGAATGTTACTTTTTCTGGGTTTGTGATGTGGAACCTCTGCACACCCCTAAGATTCCTGTTTAGGTGGAGACTGAAGAGCAGCTATTATCCATGGAGGCAACTGGAGCAGGCAGGCAGATGGAGAACCTGCAGGAGGATCTCAGCAAGCTGCAGCTTTCAGAGGAGCTCATGTGAGCCTTCAGAGTAACTCCTGCAATGACCATTA